ACGTTTTGACTGCCTCGTCAAATCGAAGATTCCAGCTACTCGAAGCCTGCTTCAGTCCATAAATGGATCTCTGAAGCTTGCATACCTTCCTCGGACTCTTAGGATCGACAAAACCCTCGGGTTGTGTCATGTACACATCCTCGAGCAAATTCCCATTAAAGAATGCGGTCTTGACGTCTACCTGCCATATCTCGTAGTCATAATACGCAGCTATGGCCAGCAGAATCTGTATGGATTTAAGCATCACAACTGGTGAAAAGGTTTCATCATAGTCTATACCATGAATCTGCCGAAACCCTTTCGCGACGAGTCGTCCCTTATAGGTATGCACGATGCCATCCATGTCGGTTTTCTTCTTGAAAACCCACTTGCATCCAATGGTCTTAATACCATCGAACGAATCGACCAAAGTCCACACTTTGTTGTCGTACATGGATTGCATCTCAGACTCCATGGCCTGGTGCCATTTCTCGGAATCGGAACTCGCCACAGCTTCTGAATACGACGTAGGCTCGCCATGTTCTAAAAACATGAGTTCGTCGTTTCCAGTCACAAGAAAACCGTCTCTTGTAGGCTCTTGGCGAATTCTACCAGATCTTCGAGGTCCACTAGGAGGTGTTGTCTCAACAACTTGTGACACAGGTTGAACTGTTTCGACCTGTTCACCCAGTTCTTCGACTATTTGTGGTTCTTGAACTTCTTTGAGATCTATTCTACTCCCACTAACTCTCTTGGAGACGAACTCTTTCTCCAAGAAAGATCCATTCCGAACAACAAACACTTTGTTCTCAGATGGGTTGTAGAACCAGTAATAGTTTCCTTAGGGTAACCCACAAATATGCATTTATCAGACTTGGCGGATAGCTTATCATAAGCCAGACGTTTCACATAAACGTCGCATCCCCAAATCTTCATAAATGCTAACCTGGGATGCTTCCCAGTCCATATCTCATATGGTGTCTTCTGAACTGACTTTGTTGGACAGTTGTTCAGTATAAGCGCTGTCGTTTCCAAGGCGTAACCCCAAAAGGATTTAGGAAGATCGACCTGACTCATCATAGACCGTACCATATCTAATAGGATCCGGTTCCTCCTCTCAGACACGCCATTCCACTGTGGCATTCCAGGTGGAGTCAGCTGTGAGACAATCTCACAATCTGCCAATTAGTCAGTGAACTCTTGGCTCATATACTCGCCACCTCGATCAGATCGAAGCAACTTGATCATCTTGCCAAGTTGGTTCTGCACCTCATTTCTGAAAGTCTTGAACAATTCAAGCGTTTCAGACTTATGTCTCATCAAGTAGACATAACCGTACCTACTGAAATCATCAGTAAACGTAACAAAGTACAGATAACCTCCTCAAGCGGGCGAGCTCATAGGACCGCCCGCATACATCACTATGTTTCTAGCAACTCTGTAGTCCGTTCTCCTTTTCTAGAAAAAGGAGATTTTGTCATCTTGCCCATCAAACATGAATCGCATGATTCAATCGACTCATAATCAAAAGAATCAAGAAGTCCATCAGAATGAAACTTCGCAATGCGTTTCTTGTTGATGTGTCCAAGTCGACAATGCCAAAGATAGGTCGGGTTTAAGTTGTTCGGCTTAAACCGCTTGGTACTAACATTAAAGATCGACCTGTATCTAGATGGTTCATCTTCCAAAATATAAAGGCCATTAAACTGGTAACCTTTACCATAGAATAAATCGCCTCTATAAATGGACAGTCATTTGTTCTCAATAACAAATCTGAAACCATCCGAGTCTAAACATGAAATCGATATGATGTTCCTGCTGATGACAAGTACAAAATAACAATCATGCAACTCCAATATAAGGACGGAAGGTAAAGTGAGATCGTAAGTGTCGACGGTCAATGCAGGAACTTTTGCTCTTTTCCAGACGCTGAGATCTACTTCTCCCTTCGCCAATTGTCTACTTCCCCGCAGTCCCTACATATTTCCACAAATATGCGAGGCACATCCGGTATCTAATATCCACGATGTAGAAGTAAACAAGTTAGCTGATAACGCAAATCTAGATGTATAAATAAGCTCAAGTAATAAAAAAACCTAGATACAGCGAATACCGCAAGGATACGGATCAACTGTAGTACCAGGGTCGAACACAGGGAATAGTTAACACTAAGAACAAGACTCGACTAAGAATCAGATCAGGAAATAGCAGATGGAATAGATGAATACCGAAAATAAAGCACAATAAATAAACTAAGTAAAATCAGATAACTAAACCACCGTAGCTTCGGGATAACCTTAATGCGCAGGGATTGTTTCTAAGGATGGAGAATCTACGAATATCGAACTCTAAACGGGGATCTCAAGTTCTAATATCAGATTTGGCTTTCTCAAGTCCTAAATCCACTATCCAATAATTTAACCTATCGATCTCTCAACCTAATAGATTAAAATATCAAATGCATTAACGATCACTATCATAGTTCCTAAACCGATTAACCTATCTCTCAATAGTCTTAATCAATTCATTCAATAAATTCGTTCCGACTCTAATCTCAACTCTCGTTGCAAATAAAAATCTAAAATCAATCAATCAACTGGCCAAGAAGATCAAAAGCAATAAACTCAATTCAATTAAACCGAAGAGTATCGATAACGTAGTCTCGAAAAATAGAAACCAAACAAATCCCTACAAGGTTAAATCCCTAGCTACAGTGAAACGACTACTCACTACCCATAACAACAAACGAGTTCAAATCAATAAGAAGAAACATAGAAACAGATAAAGAAGACTCGCAGCGATCTCTCGACGACGATTCTTCAATCTCTGCTCCCGGGAAACTCCGTCTTGATTCTCTCTCGAGTTCTCTGGCTTCTCCTGTGAACTCTCGATGATTTCTGAAGCCCAAGACGTCTCCTATTTATTTGCTTGGCAGCTGGGCTTCTTCCTTTGCTGAAAACGGAAGTTCAGATGCAAAATAGGAAGTTTTCCCGTAATGCAACACGGCCGTGTCGAATGCAACACGGTCCGTGTCAATTCTCTAAGCAAAAACTGCACTTTAGACATGGGTTGAACACGGACGAGTTTGAATCAACACGGCCGTGTCGAATGACAACACGGTCCGTGTCAATTCTCTTAGCAAACTTCACTTTTTTCAGTACGGACACAACACGGCCGTGTCGAATGCAACACGGTCCGTGTCGATTCTTCAACTCGAACATGCTTGACAGATTCGCTCATACCTTTCTGCTCCAATGTCGGATTTGTGCGATCTTAGTGTCTATGCGTAGATATTGAAGAGAGCTTTCCAATGAGGTAGAATACACGCAATTTAGACTTGTAGAGTGGAAGTTATTGGACTTGCAAGATTTGACTTTTTAGGCTTCGTGTTTTTCCCCGGAACAACTCCAAATGTTCCCGTTTCGTCTGTGATGTTCCGTAGTCCATGTTTTCCACTCCTTTTGCTCTCTTTTATGCATGAATACCTGTTTTGACACCAAAGAAAGCAACCAAGTAATATCGAGACCAAATGTGCTCTAGAATGCCTATAAATATGCAAAACCGAGTAAAATGCACTAGACATCCTATACCAAAATGTCACCAAAATACATGTCATCAAACTCCCCCAGACTTAAACCTTGTCGCGTCCTCGAGCAAATACTCCATGAAAAGCGGTCTGAAAGGAGGGCGAGACAATGACATAACTCAAAATGATAATCGAGAGCGAAACCTCTATCCGACCTAGATCCCCGTGAACAATGATCAAGTCTGTCTAGTATGATCTCCATCTCTAAAGGATAGTCTTTCCTAACTATGGGATCTATACCGCTACCAAGAACCAATCCAAGAACTTCAATCATCTACCAAGCATGTTTCTCGAACCTATCACGCCATTCTACCTAATCGTATCAAGTATACGCTTTTGGTATTCATTCTTTTTCTTCTTCTTTTTTTTCATCTAGCTAGATTTTTTTTCTTTTACTAGCATCTCGGGTTCCTAGGACGTTGAAGTTGAAGGGTTCCTAATCAATTTTTTTTTCGATTTTGTTTATTGGATAACCCGACCCACAACTTAGACCCGAACCATCAAATCGATGCACTCATGTCCTCGAACGACTTTCGTTGACGAGATCATGACAGCGGAGTGTCGAGATGCTTACTATCTTTTTCTGCACATGAAGAAATAAGCATGCATTTGATAATAGACTTTACCGATTTCAACAAACATGGGAAAGGTTCTTATAGAAACTTTTCTACTTGGCTAGACAACATCGGTCCCATGGGTTCCAACCAACGATTTCTATCCCACAAGCCATTCTAGAAAATCCTAAAGGTCAAGCAATAAATTCAACAAAATATAACCACGTTCAACGGATCACAATGTTTTCAAGACGTTTCTACTCTCTCATGCCATAGATCATTACATCAATACTCAAAACGATTTTATGCACGTGATCTTATATGTCCTAAATACTATATGTAAATGCATAACCCTAACAACAAACTATATGATCCTAATGCATCCTATATGCACATGAAACTAAAAAGTGAAAATGCATGCAATACTACTCTATATGGATATGGTTTGGCGTTAGACGAATTCTCCCCCAGACTTGAACTGGACACTGTCCTCGGTGTCAATTCTTGTCTAGTAGAGGCAACCAATAAGACGAGTCAAAAGAGAAGCAAATAAAAAAAGGGAAAAGAATACTTAGCTCGCGATGTTCGTTCACTCGCACTTAAGTCTGCCTACATCTATCGCATAGCTAGCTTCCTTGCCTTCTCAATTCCTCATTAGAACTCAACCTGGTGATAAGGGACACAAACCAATATTCGATAAGTCTGCCTACGTCTATCGCATAGCTAGCTTCCTCGCCTCCGCATTAGAACTCAACCTGGTGATAAGGGACACAAACCAATATTCGATGCAAAAATAAACAGAAAGGAAAGAAAACTAACCTAAAAACTCGGGTTGCCTCCCGGGAGCGCTTGTTTAGGGTCTTTAGCTTGACCAAACTCTCTCAACTACCAGATGGGTCTAATGGGCGAAGATTAACGATCTTCTGCCAACCTGAATCATGAAGTTTAAGAGCATCTCTACAACAAAATGAGTTTGAGAAACGAGGCGTACCTAGTAGAGAAAAATCTGGTGGTGATGCATGAGATTCGAGCCCGTTCTCACGATGGTCTGATGAGTTAGTGACATGTTTAACCATGTTAGCTTCTTTCTTACCTTTTGTCCTATCTGGGTCTGGTCCTCTCTTAACCTTGTGTATGTGGTCCTGGTTCTTAGGCGTTTTGAGCTTGTAAACTGAACAAATAGATTTCACACTTTCGTCTAGATTGTCATTTTGATTGAGCATGAATTCTATTGTCTCGTCTCCAATGGACATAGTAAGACGACCCGCTCTGACGTGGATGACGACATCTGCTGTGTTGAGAAAGGGACGCCCTAGAATGATAGGCATGCTTGAATCTACATCCATGTCAAGAACCACAAAATCGACAGGTATGTAATAATCACCCACCTTAACTGGCATATCCTCTAGTATACCTGCAGGTCGTTTGGTCGACCTATCTGCCAACTGTAATATCATTTGTGTGGGTTTGAGTTCACCCACACCTAGTCTCTTGAAGATCGACAATGGCATTAGGCTTACGCTTGCTCCTAGATCACATAATGCCTGTTCAATAAAGAGATTGCCCAGTTTGCAAGCAATGGAGAAACTACCTGGGTCTGCCATCTTACGAGGCAAATCGTGCTGAAAAACGGCACTGCACTCTTTGGTTAATGCTACTGTCTCCTTCTCCACTGTCTTCTTCCTAGCCAGAATATCCTTGAGAAATTTGGCATAAGAGGGATTTGAATGATTACCTCATGAAAAGGTATTGTGATCTCCAATTTCTTTATCATGTCTGTGAAGCGCTTAAACTGGCTGGCATCTTTTTGTTGCACAAGTCGTGAAGGGAATGGAACTGGAGGAGGTCTGGGAGGTGGAGGTACATACTTTGGTTCTTCCTCACATGTTATCTTAACTGGAGTATCTGCAGACTGAATGTTAGAGGTGATCGCAGATCTAGAGTAAAAAGACTCACCTTTTTCAAGAGTAGGGGGGACGACATCCTCAAGTTGCTTCCCGCTTCTTAAGAACACTGCATTGCAGTGCTCTCTAAGATTTATCTCGGGTTTACCTGGAAGTGATCCTTGAGGTCGCGAAGGTATAGAGGCAGCAAGTTGAGCTATTTTATTATCGACAAGCTTGAAATGGGCGTCGGTCTTCTGTTGATGTTTACGCATCTCGGTGCGAATGACTTCTTGGCCCTGCATAAGCTGTGCGAACATAGACTTAAGATCGAGGTCAAAATCTACCTGTGGTGGAGGCGGAGACGGAGCGTAATTCTGCTGAGATTGAAAAGGCGCTAGGTAGTGTTGAACGACCTGATTTTGATGTTGCGGGGGAGCTCGAGGTCGAGGTTGATATCCTTGAGAAAGACCCTGATTAGACGGACCACCGAAATTTCCATGGGGAGTATTCAAGACGTTGGAAGAATTCGTGTACGAGAAGTTTGGATGATTCTTCCACCCCGAATTGGACACGTTCGAGTACAGGTTGTTATCTACATAGTAGACGTCTTCGATCTTATACCCGTTGGCTGATGTGTCTAAGTCTGAGATCTGATGGGCATTCTCAACCTGCATTTTAAGTTTTGCCAATTCTGCACGTAATGCCTGAATTTCAGATAGACTTTCCTTACCTGCATGACTGTCTTTGAGGCTAACGTTTCTGATAAACTCGTGAGAGGGAGCACACTCGTTGGCCATCTTGTTGATTTGTTGTTCTATGAAGTTGAATGATTTTTCATTGAGGCTTCCTCCACATGCTACTCGAATAAGAACTCGAGTGTCCTCCTTTAATCCTTGCAAGAAAGTGGAAATAAGGTACCTTTTATCCCATCCATGGTGAGGACATGTTCTCTGGTATCCTTGAAAGCGATCCCAAGCTTCACGTAAGGATTCATCAGGTTCCTGCAAAAATGAGTTAATTTGTTGTTTCGCGAGCTGGGTCTTGCTAGCGGGGAAGAACCACTGCATGAACTTTTCTTGCATTTGTTCCCATGACAATATGGAATATGGAGGTAGTGTGTAGAGCCATTCCAGAGCAGTATCCATTAAGGAGAATGGAAAGGCCATGAGCATGAGAGACTCATCGGTAACTCCGCGGACTGTCCTCACCGACTGGCATAGTAGCTTGAATCGAGTCAAGTGAGGGATTGGATCTTCATTAGGTTTGCCCCAGAAAGCTGATGAGCTCAACATATTGATGAATGCCGGTTGAAACTCAAAATTGTTACGGTCGATATCAGGCCGGCGAATGCATGAGAGCTGCTGAATGTACTTAGGCTGAAGGTATGCCCCATAAGTGTCATTGTTGTTCTCAGCAACTATAGCACGTTCCTCCATCTTTCTTTGTTGTCGTTTCTTCTTTCGATTGCGCTTAGCGGACTTCTCGATTTCACGATCAAGAGGTACTAGGTTATCAGACCCAGAACTTCTTTTCATACACCGGGAAACCT